GCTGGCCATCTCCCCACGGGGGCCCTGCTCTCTGAACGCTGAGGCCTACCCCCAGGGCCTAATGCAGGGCCTGGCTGCTCAGCACATCCTTGGAGTTGAATCCCACTCCTTTAACCCCAGCCCCTCTCTGTTCTAAGGAGTGCCGTGGGCTTCTCCTGAGACCCTTACCTTAATCACATGTGCAAACACCCTTGTCCAAAAAGTCATGATCTGAGGCTCCAGGTGGACGTGTCTCTTTTGTGGAGAGCCCTGCACCATGCAGCGAGGACGTCAGTGTCCCCTCCATGCTGTTATGAGGTTCCCAGGAACGGCGGCCATCCCCTCTTCCCTGCTAACACAGCCATCCTCTCTTGAAGCTGCTACATCACACTACAGCCCCGTTAAAAGCTGGCCCCTGACCCCTCCATTAAGCACACCTCTCTTTTCACACCTGTTACGTGTCAGGCTGGGGCCTGATTCTTGGGCTGCAGCCTATGTTACAGGGAAAAGACATACTGAAGGGAAGCCTCCTCTCCAGGCAGCCTTGCCGACTGTCCTCTGACCTCCAGGTGTGCGTCGTCTCACTCTCCCACCTCCACGGCATCTCTCGTCATCTAACAGACAGGGGTCCAGAACCCACCATGGATCCAGCATGTTCCACGCACTGGGTCCAACTGAGAGCAGGTACAGGAGACAGACTATGCCCAGACAGAGGATGCAGTGTGCAATGAGTGGCGATGAGGATTGGGGAATCCAAGGCCCAGAGAGGGTGAGCAAGCTGCCCAGAGCCACACAGGCTGGAAGAGTAAAGCCAGGACTCAAGCCAGACCCGCCCACTCCTGTCACAGGCAGAGAGCCGACCACAGCCACCCCAGAGCCTGGCTGCAGTTGGGGCCAGGACCAAGCCCCACCACCAGCAGACACCCTTACACGCTGCCCCCTGGCATCCCTCACCCCCACCTCCAGCCTGGAACCCCCAGCACAGCGACGCCTCCTCCAGGTGAGCTGGGAGGCTCTCTCCTGAGCCCTCGGGTTTTGCTGGGGCCCCCCCCCACTGCACACCCCTGTTGCCAACGCCAGCACGCCTGCTCTACCAGGTGTGATGTCAGGGCTGTTCCTGTGTCTGTGCTTTGGATACTAATGCCCGTTCCTGGCAGCCCATGCTCTCATCGGCTCTGCCACCTCGGAGGGTATCGCCCCGGCTGGCTGAGAACAAGGTAAGATACACAAGGCCCGACTCTCTGTGACCTTTCTTTTTTTTTCCAAGAACCACTTGCTTAAGAAAAATCTCAGCCGTCATCCATCACCGTTGCTCAGGAACACAGGGCCAGCGCTGGAAGCCAGGGGCCGGTCAGCATGGCTCCAGGAGCTCTGACAGTCTGCTCGCTTCTGAACTGGCAGATCGCAGCCCCTTCCCTTCTGCCACCAGCCTTCCTTCAGCACAGAAAATCCCTTCAACTGGAATCCCCTTTCCCTCTGGCCTGCAGCATGCCTTCTCACATTGCCAGGCAGCTCGGGCATCCCCTTTTTCAGGAAGCCCTCCCTGTTGCCCTCAAGGACAAGTTTGCTCAGGAGAGAGAAATGGGTGCTTCTGTTGACAAGGTCCCAGCAAGGCTACCTAAGGGTGGTGTTTATTTCTCCAGGACTGGAGCGCATACAAAGAAGGCCCCTCTGCCTTGGCACCACAGGTCAGCAGCCTAAGCCTGCCAGTCAAATGTAGCCCACTGTCTGTTTTTATAAATAAAGCTTTATTGAAATGGTTATTCGTTTGTATATGCCACAAAGTCTAAAATGTTGGCTATCCAGGCCTTTACAGGGAAAATCCTGACCTTGACCTTGACTGCTGCCCCATGGTTGCTCTCTCCATTTGCTGGTACAGAATGAAGTTCAGAGATGGCCAGGGGCTCTCCCCAGATCACACAGCAGCAAGCCCTGGGGGCAGGAAGCTTCAACCAGGGGCTCTGCTCCCCAGCATCCCTGCTAAAGTGTCTGTGCATCGCTGACCCCACTCGGAATACGGCAGCCCAATGTCCAGCAGAGCACGATCATCCTGGCCGGCCACCCCGATGCCCACCAGGCCCGCCTCCTGGCCCGCTCTCCTCTCCCAGACCCCAGACCTCAGCTTAGAGGCCTCAGTGCGTGGCCTGGCCATTCGCTTTCTTATGTCCCATTCCTCTGGGGAAAAGTTTTCTGAGCCCCGAGCAGACCCCATGGAGGAGCGACACTTGGCTTCCCGGCAGCCAGGCCTCCCCTCAGAGCACCAAGGAACAGGGGCGAAAGGAAGGTCCCGGACAAACTAGGGCTCAGGCTCAGAGAAGGAGGAAGCCAGGCCCCACAGCAATGGGGGGGCATGCGGGCCGGGGCCGTGGCAGGAAAGAGAGGATGCTTGGAAGGCCTCAGAGGAGAGTTTTAAGGGGAGGCCCCATAGCAAGCCACGCCTGCCTCCAGGCCTGTGGGGGCGGGGGCCTCTTTCTGAGTAGCGCCCCCACCCACAACTGGAATAGAACGCTGGCCAACACACAGCCAGATGCAGCTGTTAGAACGAAAATTTCTAAAGGCTCGAGCCCCCCCACTCTGACCCAGGCCGGAAGCTACTGGCATAGCCATGGTTCCCGTCCATGGGTGCCCAGAGTCTGGACTTCCAGCTCCTCCCTGTGGCACCAGCAGGGGAGGGGACGCTCAGCCCTGGCCTCTGGGGCCACATCTGTGTGGTTGTCTGGCACAAAGGTAGGAATGGAGCTCATCGTCATTCACTCATTCATCCAGTGAGCACCTGCTCCATGCTGGCGCTCAGGCAGAGCCAGGGCAGGCCTGGTCCCTGCCCGGTGGTGCCTGCTGTCCTGAGAGATGGGATGGAGCAAACCCACCCAGTGAGCAGAGTCAGCGGGCAGGTGTGGGTGTGAGCGTGGAGGAAACTTGGGCTCATGGGCAGCTCTGGGCTGGGTGTGCTGGGCAGCTAAGCTGGCACTCGGGGAAGGGGTGGAGGGACCTGCGTGGCAGCCAGTGGGCACTAGAGAGTGAGCACCCCATAACGGGAGGAAGCAGGCTCAGGCCGGGCTTCTGGCACAGGTGCAGACCAATGCGCAAGTCTGTCTGGATTCCCAGGGCCAGGAGAAGCCACGGGAGTGGCTTTTGCCGTCTCGGTTTGAGGTTTTTAGGGGCAGAGGGTAGTATGATCAGCTCCAAGCTCAGAGGATGGAGGGGGCTGGGGGGCCTTGCTGAGCTGGGGTTGGGAGGCAGCAGGGGAGGGAAGGTGACCCGGAGAGCAGTTTTGACTTGAATTAAAAGGGCCATCTCTCCCCATTCTGGGGCTCCCGACTGAAGAGTCTTGAAGGAATAAAAGTGTCCTGAAGGCTCCCCAAGGGCGCCCTGAACTTGGGACCCCAAATCCACCTCCACCGTGATCTGCTGGGCAGCTCTTGGGAAGTGCTGGTCCTGTGTGGGGCACAGTGGCCTGGGCCAGGCGGGGGGACCACTACCTCTCCATCCCAACCCCTTCTGATGCCCAGGTGACAAAATGCAGGGGACACAACTTGTAGGACACCTGGGAGGAACAGTCCTCAGTGAAGCTGCCTTCAGGGTCCAGGACAATCACAGGCATTTTGCCTATTCTATTTATTGGAATTTTCCTAAAATGTCTGGACCTAGGGCCTATATGAAATCTGCATTCATATTCATGCAAATCACATGCAAATCACGCCACCCCGGATCAGCTGGAGGAAGACATCGCTGCTCATATTCTTCCCTTGAGGGGGGTAGGAGGGTCTGTTCTACAGCAGGAGGGACCCGTCATCCACCCCCACGTGCAACAGGCTGGGAAACTGAGGAGGGGTCACCCAGCATTTCCGAGCAGACCTGGGTAAGACGCCTCCTCCACCAGGAGTTGTGTAAATGGCTCTCCCCTGGCAGGGCGCCCAGCAGGCAGGAAGGAGGTAGGCTTGCAGACGTTCCCAGATGCCTCTGATAAGAAACAGTAGTATTTGCTCTTAAATCTACTCCTGGGGGACAGTTAGCAGCACCCTCCCCATATCAAAGCCAGCTCCAAAAATATATCACCTCCAACAGCCAATCCCTGTCTAGACTAAACGTCACTGCAAGGAAGCCAAGGAATAAGGACTCTGCACTTAGGGCGCCTGAGAGCAGGGTGCCAACAGGAGTGCCCCCTGTTGTAGATACCCACCCGAAGATGCCCCTTGTCCAGAGCTTGCTCTGACAGCCTTCTGTGCTGCTGCTGAGTCACGCTGGGTCTCTTTGCCACGGGCAAGCAGATCCCGCAGCCCCACTGCTCAGATGGGGACACTGACTCCCCGAGAGCTGGGACTAAAAGCTGGCTTCTGGGGAGGGCATGCAGGAGCCTCAGGTCTGCCCCTCTGAGCACCAGGCAGGCTGGCGTTCCAGGGGCGAGGTCCATGGCCTCTCCACTCCGGAGCCTGCGGGCCCCAGGGTCCTCAGGCACACAGCCCGTAAGACAAGTGGAACACCTCCTCCGTGCTGGCCCTCTGGGGGCCTGGGGAGCCTTTCCCAGGGAGGGGAGGCCAAGAGGCAGACTTGCAGGCAGACAACACAAGACCACGTCCAGGCTCTGCTGCCAGGAGTCCACTGAGCCTCAGGCACCTTATCTGTAAAATGGGGCGGGGGCAGTGCTTACCACCCAGGGGGTTAGGATTCAAAAGGCTTGGTGCTGGTACATTAGTAGTAGAAAGAGCCGCCCAGGCCGGAGGTCCCCACATGCCACCTGTGGTGGCCACAAGCCCTCCTGCGGATGAGAAAATGAGGGCAGACAAAGCTAGACGCTCCGGATCCGCGGCTCCCTGCACACGGAAAGCCTGCCCACACACCTCCACTGTTTCCTAGCCAGCCTCTACCGGGCTCTTCCAGGGACAGAGAGAGACGGAGCAGCATGGCCAGGCTGAGACCCTGACTGGGGGGCCAGGAGGTGGGCTCTTGCAGCCTCCACCTAGATATTGCTGCCCTCTTCCCCACCTACAGCCCACCCTCCCTACAGCAGGCAGGGTCCTGCTAAAGCCAGTCCTGTCCTGCCTCCCCTGTGAGCCCCATCACCACCCCGGCCCCTCCACACCGCACAGGCCCTTTCTGCCCTTCGCTGGTGCCTCCAGCCTGCAGGCAGCTGGATCAGGGTCTGCTGAGGGTGCAGTGTGCCCGGCACCCACTCCTCCCCCCACACCTTTGCTCACTCTAGTTCTTCGCCCTGCAGTGCCCTCCCCCATTTCACAGAGCAGGCCCCCGCAGAGCCGTATTCCTGCAGGTGCCTGCGATGTGTGCTGCCCTCAGCAGGCTCCCACGGCCCTGGGATCCCTCCCCAGCCTGCACCTCCCTGCTCAGGAGCCATCTGGACATGATCTGGGTCTGGCACGCAGGGACCCTCAGCCAGACCCTGGGAGCAACAATGCCCGTGTGGCCACGGGCAGAGGCTGTGGTCTTCGTGCCTCTCCTCTACCCTCCCATGGGTGTGGCTGTCCAGCATGGCCACTGCAGGACTGGCCTGTCCTGCTGGGAGAAGCGGTGGCACCTCCCTGGTCCCGATGATTAATGACGTGCTGGGTCCCCAGGGTTCCTGAGAGAGGAGGTTGCTGAGGAGCATCAGATTCATGAAACAGCAAGAAGACGCTGGAGCAGACGAACAGGAAGGTGTGAGCCCCGTAGGTCTCAACCAGAGGCTGGTGAGAAGGGGGGACGCCAGGCTGCAGGGAGGCGGCGTGGCAGCCAACCCCCAGGCCTCCTGGGGCAGGTGGAGGACAGAAACAGGAGGGACAGCAGATCCGGGAATTCCTACATACCCAGAGGCCCAGCGCTGGCCTCAGGCAGAGGCGCACCCTCAGAGGACCCCATCGGCATATGCAAACATGTGCCAGGATGCAGAACTCGGGCCCTGCGGGAGGAGGAGGAGGAGTTCAAGACCTGCATGCCCCCTGGGGTCCAGCACGGGCAGCCCTGTAAAGGGCAGCATGTTTAGGCCACAACACCCCAGGCAGAGGAACGCTGTGGCCCCATTTTACAGGCAGGAAATTGAGCCTCAGGGAGACTGAGGCAGGAGCACAGGAGGGCAGAGCTGGCACAAACCCACATCCTGGGCATGGCAGCCCCAAGGGCAGGACTCACCCCAATTCCCCAACAGGCCAAAGGTCATCTCTGTGGTGCTGGTCAGCAAGAATAGTCACCTCTGTGGGGTGTGTGAGGATTCCAGTTTCACCAGGATAGAGGGAGGGCGCTTAGGGTGGTCACCCCAGTCAGAAACACCTGCAGGGAGGGAATCGGACCACCCACGTCCTCATCAGGCGGGGAGGGGGCTGGGGCATCCCCAGAGGGGCACGGGCCACCACCACAGAGAGCAGCGCTGGGTCCCCCACTGCTCACTCCGGCTCCCACAGGCCTGCAGAGTTGGGCATGCAGCCCTGACCGTTCATCCACAGCCTTTGCCCCTGGGGCAGGCATGGGGGGCCTGAGATGGCTCCTAGGACGGGAGATGGTTGAGGTGGGACCTGCTGGATATGACAGCAGGGACATGGAAAGAAGGTGGCCACCAAGATGGTGCCATCTGATGCCTCCTGCACCAGCTCACCAGCCCACAGCAGCCCACAGCCCACAGATGACTGCTGTTCTTTCATGTCTGTGACCCCTGACCCCAATGCTAGGGCCAGAGGGAATGGGAGTCCAGCATGTTTTAGACCGCAGAAAAGCAGTATGGCGTGAGACCTGCGTGTCACACAGCAGCCAGGGGGCTCACGCACCCTGGCAGCTCTGCAGCAAAGCCCATGAACATCACACCACGGGGGAACAGACACCCCGAATCCCTCAGTTCAGATCATATATGCCACCCAACCAGTTACACACAGGTCGTTTTCAGCACATTTTGCATTCATGTTGCAGATGAGGGGCTGTGGACCTGCGTGCCCGTTTTGCAGATGAGGAAATTGAGGGAGCAGAGCCCTGGTGGGGACACACACCCTTACTGGGCACCCAGCATGACCGTGGTCCTACAAAGACCTGAAGGGCCTTCTCTGGGCCTGGCTGCCGGCCGGTGGTAGTGCTGAATAAAAACCAACATGCATCCTGCTCCGAGAGGCCCCATAGGGTGGAGACGATCATCCAGAAACGCCTCCAACAACTGGCCACGTGCCCCAGGGGTGGAGATGCCCATCCACGCACCCACACATGCACCCAAAACACAAACCACTAAACCTGGGGTCCAAAGCCAACTTGCAGCAGGCTCTGAATCAATTTCAGTGAGAAAAAAAAAATGTTAAGGATTTCAATTTGCCAGCAGCTCAGAAGGCACCAGTGCAGCCAGGCAGAGGCCCAAACTGCCAAGATGTGCCAGGGTGGTGCCACTGCTCTGTCTGGTCAGAAGGTCCTGACAGCCATGTCCTGCCCTGGACACCAACATCCAGAGCCAGCCGTCAGCCCAAGGGCATGCCGACTGGGTAGGGAGACGTCAGAATGAAGCACCGCTGGGCCTCAAATCTCAGAGGCACCCATGGAATGCAGCACCGTGTGGACACTGTAGGTAACAGGGGAGTACAGCAGGCCCCGCCCTGCCGACGGAGAAGGAGGGCTCCTAAACACAGCCACACATGCCCCTTGCCATCCATACTCCAAAAGCAAAGACATGACCACTGGGTGGGCAAGTGTGTGGACCCAGGGGACCCCTCATAGAATGGACGTAGGCAAGGGTGCATTTAGCACCTGACCCCACCTGCTCCCTCTCAACAGGGACCGGGATGGGGCCTCAGAAACCCAGGAACCAGCATTGCCAAGCCTCTGCCAACTCCCCCCAAGCCCCTGTGGTCCCTCCTGGGTGAGTGGCTTCTGTGTGTGGCCACAGGTGCCTGGGAAGGATGGGAACCATTACCATAGATGCCAGCTGTGTACCACAGTGCCCACTGCTCCGCACAGCGACGGACTCTGGGGCTGAGACCTGGCACTGGTTTGGCAACCAGGAGCTGGCACCAGCTTCTGCTTCTCCATTCTCAATCTCTTTAGAGGGGATGTATTAGCAAGTTTCTTGTCGGCTGCCCAGTCACTGCCCTGGTAGCAGGTGTTCCAGAAGCCACCTTACAGCTCGCTGCAGGGTGGCTGTCCCCTGTCTCAGCTGGAATTCTTTCTCCCACTGGCTCCTGCCGGGAGCGCTGCCCAGGCCTTTGGAGTTGGGGACCTTATAATCCAGCTGCAATGGCATCTCTACGATGCCACACATGCACCAGGGCGTCCCAGTCACCTTGGGGAGCAGCCCACGGGCCTCCAGCCCATCAAAGGGGGACTGCTGCAGCACGCCCCTCCTCCAGACCTCTTGATCCCTCCTCCGTGGTTTATCACAGCAGCTCTGGCCAGTGGTTTAACTCCAGCACTTCCAAGAGCCATGTGGGAACACAGGGTTAGGCCTGGCCAGGGGTTAAGTCCAGTGTCTCGGGTGAGTGGCCCCCCCGTTGGCCAGCGCCCTTTATTCAGTTCCATGCCCACCCCCCAACCTGGCCCCGACTGCTCTGCCCCATCCTGCAGGTGCCCTGGCCAGGCTTTGCTGCTCCTGGGTGTCACCGCAACCCAGCAGGCCCAGCGCCCCGTAGGCCTGCTTCCTGAGATTCGGCCCGACTATGCGCCTGATGCGCGGACCCCGGAAGGACACAGGGTCTCCAGATTCCTGCCTCACTGGTGCCCCTGAGCAATCCTCCGGCAGAGGGGTTGGGGACTGTGGGTCTTCAGTGATCCCAGAAACCCCAGTCTCAGGGCCCACTGTCTCCCTGTCGGACTCCAGCTGACAGCCTGAGAAGCCCACCTTCTCCAGCATGCTGCCTGCTTCCAGCAAGTCCTGGGCCTCACCGCCAAACTCTCTCTGCCCCGACTGCAGGAAGGGAGCTTCTCCTTCGAGGCTTCCGGGTGGCCCTCTGACTCCCACGTGCTCCAACTGGATGATTAGCAGGCCCGAACCTGTCGTTTTCTCTCCTCGGTGCATCAGTGGCTCTTAGCAACAGCTGCCGACCACACGGCCCTCCTAGCTGTGGCACCTCCTGCACCCCCCATGCCAGGCACACCATGCCAGCTCCAGCTTCCCCCCCCCATGGCACCCTCCTGCCTACTCACCTGCAGTCCCACCACTACGGCCTCTGGTGACTGTCAACCCCGGACCTGCCCCAGCAGCGGAACCTGCACCCCATCGGCAGGCCAAACAGCCACCTGCAGAGCCTGCCCTGCCAGCTGCCTCCTGTGGCGCTCCTGGTCCTGAGGGCCGCGTGCCCCTGTGGGGGCAGCTGGGAAAAGAAACATGAATGGGCAGGACGTGCAGGCAGGATGTGCAGGCAGCCCGGCCACACAGGACACCGGAGCTTGTGTGGCTCCCATGCAGGTCCCGTCTTGATGCAGAGGCCAGCCGTCTGTCCACCCATGTCCATCAGTCAGTCAGGGGAAGGTCCCACACAAGGGAAGGGCAGCGTCCCGGAGGAGGGCTGTTGGCCAGAGATCCCCCTGCAGGAAAGCGGGGGGAGCTGGTGGGGTGCCAGCTCCATAAGGGGCACCCACATGCTGTGAGGGGACAGGCCAGTAGGGGAAACTAAGGCTTGGGAGTGAAGTCGTGTCGTTTCACCCCCACCCCCCAGAGGAGATGCACCAAACATTTTCTTGAAGCTCCTACTTCAGAACCTTCCTTAACACTGTCCACTTACCAGCAGAAAAAGAGAACTTGAAATGGAGACAAGCCCAAAGGCCTGGTGGAGAAAAGCTCCGGGGCCACCGAAGGAAGGTTCTGGAAATCCCTCAGGAGACCTCCGCCTGACTTCCAGCTGGGATCTAGGCCTGGGAGCCAGCAGAGGCTGCCTCAGCAGGCAGGAACAGAGGGAGGGCCCTGGGCAGGTGTGGAGGGAGGGCCTGTGCCAGGTGGGGTCCCTGGTGCTGGCTGGCAGTGACATGCCCGGCCGAGCCTGGAAGCCAGCACCAGCCTCCCTGAGACTCTGGGATGGGGCCTGTCCACCCCCTCACCTCAGCTCCTTGGACCAGAGCTGTGCTGGCAACCCCGGCATCAGCCCCCTTCTCCACCCAGCCCCTCCCTCACCTCAGGAAACTGAAAGTCTTTATGGCTCCCGAGTGGGGCAAGTGCTCTGGTCTTTGGGCCCAGAGGGCAGGCAGTGCTGGGGCCAGGTGACAGCTGGGGGCACGGAGCCCATCCTGTGGACTCTGCGGATGTGCACCACACGCTGCAGCCCCTGACCCGAGAGGCTTCATCTGGTGCCCCAGCTACTGACCCCTGTGCCCGGACGCCAGCCTAGAGGAGGAGCCATGTGTGTGTCCACAGGGCAGCTGGCCCTCCCCCAACACGTTCTCCCTCTTTTCCCTGTGACCCCGGCCTCTGCAGCTTCTCCACAGGACCTGGGGAATCACCCACTCGTGACAGTAATAACGTACTAGCGTGCCTGGATCATAGAATAAAATAATGGGATCAGAGAAACAAGTCATATAATCCAAACGGAATCCTAGACACCCAGAATAGAATCCCTGCACACTTAAATATCATCACGCATCGAGTCACAGAGCTGCAGAACAGGCCCTGGCAGGTGGGCTAGAGGGCACTGCAGGGACCACTCGGCCCAAAGCCCTCGGATTCTGGGTGAGGAGGCATGAGGGAGTCATGGGCTGGGCTCTGGGCATCTTGGAGCGCTCAGCCCAGCCCTACAGGCCACCTCTGAGCTGCCCTGGGGGCCCAGCAGGAGAGATGGGGGGGACGTGTGTGGCATCCTGGGACAGCGGGCATCTGGCAGGGGCCTCAGCCTGAGGCAGCCAGGCCGGGCGTCAGCAGGAAGAGGGCAGTCAGGGGCCGTGCTAGGGCGTCGCCTCAGAGCCGGGAGTTTATTGAATGAATACATGAATGTGTATCGGCTCCAAGAGAGGAGGAGATGCCTCTGCCCTGTCCGTCCGTGTGCCCGGCTTAATCAGCATTGGAGAGATGTCCAGCGAAGAACAGCAACAGCCAACACTGTTTTGCAGAGGTGAAATTCACAAATGGAAAATTAAGCATTTTAAAGTGAACAGTCCAGAGGAACGTTTTCATCTCCCACAGGGAGACCCCGTGCCCATTAAGGGGTCATCCCCCCACCCCCCACCCAGCTCTGGCCGCCACCATTCTGTGTTCTGCCCTGTGGGTTTGCCCACTCTGTGTGGCGTTCCAGAGGTGGCATGCTGGGCCTCCCGGCCTCGGCTGTCCCTCAGAAGCCCCTTCCCAAATCTCTCGTTCTCCGGGCTGACTGTTATTTCTTTCTTCTCTTCTCCCTGGCATGATAGGATCAAGAAAAGGTCTTAAAAACGAAATACAACATTTTTCTTCCATGACAAATCCTGTATTGAAGAGCTCAGCAGAGGAGCCCCTCTCCGGGGCATCCCTGTAATTAGTGCTACGTGGGGCAGCTGGTGTCCCCTCCCTGGTCCCAGGAAGCAGCCAGGTCCCCCCACCTCCTCCTTTCCCCATCCCCCTGCCCACCCCTCCTGCACCTCCAGGCCCAGCATTCCTGGCTGCTGGGATTGGAGACAATAATCCCAGAATTATGCCATTCCCAGGCACCAGGACTGCACCTGCAACACATGACACCTGCCCCATTCCCACCCTGCACAGGGGATGATGGGATGAATACCACACTAGAGCTGCCACCACCGAGTCTGCCCCCCCATTACAGATGGGGAAACGGAGATCCAGGGAGGAGGAATTCTCCCCCACCTCCCAAAGCCAGGAAAGGAGTAGGGCTCCATCCAGGCCTGGGCCCCTGGGCCCCTGGCTGTGCCTGCACACAGAGAAGAGGGGACGCACCAGGAAAGGGCTGGAGGCGCCCCCCGTGGGACTGCAGCTTCCTTGTGTCTGGGCCCGCAGGGCGAGAGGAGGACAGGATAGGGCTGGAGGCACTTGGTGACCAGGAAGCCCAGGCAGGCTGGTGGAAGGGGCAGAGCAGACAGGGGCCTCTGGTCCTCGGACGCCAGGCAGAAAGAGAGAGAGGGCCAGATACAGCTGCGTTAGTACCTGGGACAGGCACCCTGGCTCTGCCTAGAGTCCCTGCCGGCCGCTGACCAGGGCTGAGGCTGTGCCGCCAAGGACCAGTGCCTTCTGCCCTCCCGCTGCCCGCCTCAGGGGTTGGGGCAGATAACACAGCCAGCCTTTAACAGGCGGTGGCTGAGTGCCTTCTGTGGATGAACGCATTTCATCCTAACCAGCACCTTAAAGTAGCTCTGATTGGGAAACCAAGGCACAGAGAGGTTCGTTAAGGTGCCTGAGGTCACACAGCTGGAAGGTCAGGGAGCCCAGATTGCACCCGGACAGTCTGATGGCAGAGCCAGTGCTCACAATGGCTGTGGGGGACAACGGGGCCTGGGGCCAGGGGAGAGAGAGTAGAGGGTGTCTGCCTGGGAGGGCAGAGCTCCTGGGGTACCCCAGGATGGAGCCCTAGGGATGGGGGCGCAGAGCAGCCCTCCGTGCTCAGCCTCCCCCTTCCTACAGTGCCCACCCCCTCCACCCCCATGCCCTTTGACCAGCCACAGGGGCATTTCCACTGCCAGCTCTGTGCTGACTCTCTTCCAAATCCCTCAGGCCCAGAGTCCCGTCTTCACAATGACTAGGGGAGGGCCAAGGGCTGGCAGCCCCCTGAGATGCCGGGCGGCTGCCCAGCACACCTCACTGTCCCCCACGTGTTCCTTACAGAGTCTGTGACCTCTTACATCTCTCAGCCTCTGTGGCCACCCTTTGCTGCTGTTGTCTCTGTTTCTCAGGGTCTCTGACTCGCTCTGTCTGTGTCTATTCCCACCTCCCTGTCTCCCTGTCTCTCTCTGTGGCCACCCTTTGCTGCTGTTGTCTCTGTTTCTCAGGGTCTCTGACTCGCTCTGTCTGTGTCTATTCCCACCTCCCTGTCTCCCTGTCTCTCTGTGCCTCTCCGTGGACACTCCAGCCACCCGGGACAGCCGAGGCCTCCGTGCCTTCTGACTCAGCTCCTCTGTGGGTGGGGAAGGCTGCTCTGGGAGCTAACCTGCACTCACATGGCTCCTGGGTCCCCGGGGAGCACCAGGCCTGCCCCTGCCCAAGGGGCCCTCACAGAGGCTCTGGGGGCCGCTCTGATCCAGGCACACGGAGCCCCCCTCTGAGCCCCGCCCCTCTCCCTGCTGCCCAAACCTGGTGACCGAGTCCCCCATGCCTAGACTCCCCCTGCAGTCCGGTCCCCCTGCAGAGGCATCCGATGTGTGGGGCTGGCAGAGACCCCTGCAGACCAGTGTCCCTGCTTCAGGCCAGGGGGTGACCTCAGGGCTGTCCACATTTGACACCTGCGGGTCTTGAGCGTTTGCACTCACAGGCCCCTCCCTCTATAAAAAATAATTTAAAATTATACTTTATGACTGCTTTGGTATAAAGACAAAGATACTAATAAAAAACAAATGTTTTCTTGGACCTAAAACTTCATTTTTGTTCCCTTCCAATTTTAAGGGAAATTAAAACCTGGGCCCCTTGAAGCCTTGTGCGTAAGCTGGCCCTGCTGGGCCTCAAACCACCTGTGCGGAGCCTAGCTCGGCCACAAGTCGCCATCACTGCCCCAACCTGCACCTCGGTGTCCCTGTGCATGACATGAACAGAAGGCTTGAGGCCAAAAGGCTCCTCGGGCTGGCAGAGGCTTCTGCTCCCCAAGAGGGGACAGAAGCCAGGACAGCTCTGCACCCTGGCACCATGGGCCGCCCCGCCCCCAGCCCCAGAAGGCGGTGATCCTGCCCTGCACCCGGCTCTGGGGCGGCAGGGCTTCCAGCTGCCCTGTCCTTTCTGCATCCACTTGGGGGCAGAGGGTCCCTCCGCACGGCCTCCCGGCTCCCAGCCAGTCACCCCCACCTTCCCGGTGGAGCCGCCTGCTCGGGCAGGGCCCTCGGAACAGGAGAAACGAGCTGCCAACACCTCCCGGCACATCAGCCCTGCCATCCTGCACCGCAAGCTCTGGCTCATTTTTCCTCCTTCCCGGTAATTGAGTTCGAATGATATGTGAGACTCTCAACCAATTCATCATGATCCGCACACACCCCGAGCCATCCCTGGGGCTGCCCAACGAAAGGAAGAGACCCGGGGCTCGCTGGGCCACGGCGCTGGGGGCGCCTTGGCTGGCCTGTCGTCAGGGCGGGGCTGACCAAGGACTGGATGCGGAGTATCTGACCCAACCCTCTGCCGGGTTCCAGAGCCAGTCATCCCAGGAGTCTCAAGGGCACCGCAAACTCAGCCTGTCCAATGCCAAACTCACTGCCAGGCTTTTCGGGGTCTCCCAGGACGGTGGGGTCAAAAAAGCTCTGGCTCAGAGCTGGTGGCCTGGGTCCAAACACTGCCCCCTGGGTGACCTTAGTAAGAGCTGCTTGTTGGGGTGTGGAGCATTCCGGTAAGAGTGAAAAGGGCCCAAGGAGACGCTCACTTGGTAGGCTCTTGGGAAGTGGTGGTAGCCTCCACAGCTGCTGGTGGCATTCACCCTGCCTGCCCCACCCTGGGCACCTGCATCTGGCCTCCCAGGCCAGAAGACCGGTGCCACCTGGCCTTCAGCCAGTGGGGGCCCACAGCCATCTTTCCCAGCCCATGGGGATCTAGGTCACAGCCCACAGCCTGGCCTGACAGGCTCCCACCTGGCCACTGCACAGCCCCCTAGGGGCACTCCAGCCCTGCCTGCCCTCCAGCTGCCCTCCCAGCAGCCAGGCGCCCTCCCTCCCTGCAGTCCGGTCCCCCTGCAGCGGCATCCGATGTGTGGGGCTGGCAGAGACCCCTGCAGACCAGTGTCCCTGCTTCAGGCCAGGGGGTGACCTCAGGGCTGTCCACAGAGGACAGAGGCCCAGAGAAAGCCCCCGATGATGACCTCCACCCACCCCAAATTGGAGTTCCGGTTGTTCTCCTTTGCAGGGTCTGTTGGGAGTGGCAGGGGACCATGGGCACATAAGGCCCCAGCTTCCATTAGAACACCAGTGTCCCCAGGGTCCAGGGTGAGGCTCCTTGGGCACTGGCTGTACTCGGGCCCTGTGGGGGTGGGAGAGGGCCGGTGCTAGGCACTGCTGCCCCTCAGAGACCGCAGAGGGACACTCATCCCAGAACCAGAGTTGGAACCAGGTCCCAAGAAGGGACACTTGGCATCAGAGGGTGGTGAGTCCAGTGAAAATGCTGTAGGAGCCCCGCGGAGGCAGAAAACACCTTCCCCTGGGGGTCCCGGCAAGCTCCCTGGAGGAGGTGGCCTTGAGGAGGTGAGGAGGGATGAGGGGCAGGGAGGGGATGGGATCAGATAGGCCCTGGGCAGGGTCACAGGTGACTGGGACTGAGACAGTGGGGTGCTGGCCTGTGCTGGTGGCACGTGGTCATGGTTATGGGATCACAATAGGGGTCATAGGCTGGGAGTCTGCAGAGGACAGACCATGGAATGACCCCCAAGATGTCGGATGTCATACTGTAGAAGGCACAGGGCCACAGGAGGGATGTGTCACCAGCTCTGGACTTGGGGCACCCCTGCAGCCCTTCCTTACATTGGTGCAGGGTTCACCCTTTCTCCTCATCACCCTCAGCTCAAAGGTCACCTCCTCCCAGAGGTCCACCCTGACTGTCCACTGAGCCACAGAGTGGCACTGACCCTCTGCTGCCCAAAGCAGAGCTTTCCAGATTCTTGACTCTCATCTCTCTGGGGCAGTATGCTCCTGTTTGCTTATTACATGCATCCCACAGGGTTTGGGAACAGAGGCACCCCAGCCAGGCTGCCTGGGCCCACCCTTGCAGGCGTGTGACCCTGAGCCAGTTATCAGGCCTAGCTCTGCCAGAGGGCACTGTAGTCTCACCCAGAGAATTTTCACCGTACCCTAGAGCACTTAAGCCGGGCTGGGCATGTGGAAAACAACATCCTTTCTCCTGCTGTGGTGACAGCTGTCGGAGGCTTTCTGCAGCCCACCACCAAACCCAGCACCCATAGTGGTTCCCAGGAGTTCCCAGGAAGGAAATAGCTCCTGAACAAATGGATAAGCCCAGCCCTCGTTGTCCCAGGAGAGAAGCCTTCAGCTCACCAGGGAAGCTCCAGCCTGCCCTAACGCAAGGTTGCCGGGGGTCAGGGCTGCTTCACATGATCCAGGATGTGGCCATGTCTGGGTCCTTGGCTCCCATGTCAGGAGGGGGACAGGGACCCGGGCCTTGCCACCTGCTTCCTCATCAGATGTGACACACAGATCCCCAGAGGCCCGGCAGGCAAAGGCCCCCCACAGTACGAGCTGAGCAGCACCAGGGGGATTTGGACAGGGCCTGGCATCCCAGAACCATCCATGGATCCTGGACAGGCCACTCCCTCCCCAGCCCAGAGCCTGGCGTGTCTTCCTAACGGTATGCAAGCTGTATGATGGGATGTCTGCTAAAAAGTGACAGTGCCCTAATTTATTCAACTTGTCAGCTTCCATCTGCCACCCACAACTGCCAGCAAGTGTGGGGGTTTTGGAAACTAGAGCGGAGCTTTCTCGCCCCAGGGCTGGGTGCTGGAGGGAGCCCAGGATGACGATTCTCCTCCAAGCAAGCACATCCCTGGGCAGGCAGCCAGGACGGGTGCTGGGAGGGGCGGGGCCACAGCAGGGACTGCCCAGGGCCTGAGGGGCAGGTGGGTGCTGGCAGGGAGCCCCGAGAGGTGGGAGCTCAGCCTGCCCTGGGCAGCTGGGGAAGCTGAGGCCGGGGGACAAGGGCTCACACTGCAAGAGCCACCCCACCCAGGAGGGAGGGACTTGAGCTCCTGCCCCAGAAGCAGCATGGCATTCGCCACCAGAGACCTGGCCCATGTCCCAACGCCACCTCCAGTGGGGGGCACCCTTGGCAGGTCACTTGATCACACCGACCCTCTTCCTCATTTGTGAAATGCAGCTCTGAGGGCACCCCCCACTAGTGAGGATCAGAGACCACTTGGGAAAGCAGACTGCCTGGGCCCAGGGCTGGAGGGGGCCCTGGAAGCATG